GGTGTGTGGCAGCTTTTCCTTATTTAAGAACGCATAAACAATGCTATTTTTCATTTACAGGAATGCAAAGAAAAGGACCCATAAACGAAAAATTACGGGGCCTGACATAGACATCATGACAGAACTTCAGTGTCTGCCACTCAGGATCGTCACCCAATAGATGGAGCGGCGCACCAGGCAAGGCCTCAATCCCGGTGGTTCTCTTACCACCACTAGGATAGAGGCCTTGCATAGGGGCCTTCTTTAAATAAAATAAAAAAAAGAAAAAAAAGACATTGGTGTGGCGAATAACTTTCTAGGCCTTTTGGCTAAGATCCAAGCCTGGTATCTGTTCTGATCAGTTTAATTTCTGATCCGTGGTCCATTTGGCCACAAGATATTAAATCAATTTCTCAGGGGTAAAGTGGGGTCATATGGGTAGGCTTGCGTACTCGACCCCTCCGAGTTGCCTCTGTATTGCACTGCAAAAGAGCGTGGCTCACCCCATTCTCCCTTGCTGGAGGAGAAAAAAAAAAAAAAAAAAAAACATTGGTGTGGCGAGGCCCTTACTGTAGACGGCCCCAGTCTTGCACTCACGATAGCACTACCCAACTGTGTACTGCACACGGCGCGGGAGCGCAGCCGGTCGGGAGCAAGGGGAAGGCGAGATTGTGCAGCCTGCAAGAAATAAGGGCAAAGGGTCGAGGTATGCAAAGTGCGATTCTGTAGGGCATGTCGTGAGGGAAGAACTGAAATTTTGGACGCTGTAAACAGTGGCAGTGCCGTCACCCTGAACGTCACTTGAACGTGACCGGCCGTTCATTTGGTGTTTTTTTTGTGAATGGCCATTCACGGTGAACGGGCAGACCATGAAAGAGTGGTGTTTTTTCTTTTCTTTTTTAGGTCTCACCCAGCAAAGCGGGCAGACCATGAAAGAGTGGTAGAGTAGAGGTTGAGCTCTATGCAAAGACAACCATTGTGTGATAATAACACTTAGGATGAACACATGGAGAGGAAGAAGGGAGAGGAGAGGGGAGGAATGAAGGAAGGAAGAAGGTAGAGTAAACAACCCTGAGCGCATCAGCTCGAATAAGATATAACAAAGAAGCACAAGAAAGATGACGGTAGAACCACCATAGCATGAAGTGCGGCTGGCGAAGTGTAACCCGACAGCTGTTTCGTCGGGCTCGCCAGAGTACCTGACTCCTCAGGGTTGCGCTGGGAGTAGAGTGAAAGGGGTAACATAGGAACTTATACTACTACGAACTATGAAATACAACCTTCCCTACAAAAAGCACGGTACCAGGAATGGGAAAACAGACCAAGTACCAGAAAACTATACTGGGTCTAAGAAAAGGGACCAAACGCAACCGCAAAAATGGGACTAACTACATTACCAGAACGTCCAACCGGTGAAACATTCGACCCAAGGGGCCCATGCCCCTCCTATCTTGTTATTGAAGTGGAACAGGGCGTTGTCAAAAAAGCAGTCAGGAAATTTTCTGCGCCTAAGCTCAACCTTCAAGCTGAAGAGAAAAAAAGCCTCCGACCCTGGCATAGTGCCCATAGCATATGCACGGTGGAGGAAGGATGATATGACTGCTAGGTGTTGCTTCTTGCTACAAAAGGAACCGTAGTCCTGTAGATTTTGAAAAACCAGTCCATCTCCGTTTAGGATGCCATTTTGATTTTTGTGAAGTGCCTGGCAATATACCCTAGGTGGCCGACTCCCGATATAAACATGACAACCAAGGTAAGGCCAATCATTGGAGCAACTAGTCTTCTCTAAGATTAAGTGCCTATTATAGCAGCTGGTTTCAAATTTAACAACTATAGACTCGACTAGCTCGGCTGAAAGACTACCATTCAATCTGCATCTGATGAACAAGGACACATCGTCGATCATTCTACAACCCCTCACAAGCTTCCTGTCCGTCCCCAAGCTTTGCAGAAAACAGGATTCGTTATGCATGCACATAAGGCACGCCAGCGCTGGACTGGATGCTTTACCCATAGAAATTCCTAGTTTTGCTTAACCACCCTACCCATCCCCATGGTGTAGGTATTTTCCAAATCGTACAAAATAAACCGGATCAACAGAGAAAACCTAACTGATTTACAACCCGTTTCACTGATAGCAGTTCTGCATAAACGAACTCATTTCCTTCGTGCACAGTACAAAAATTTGAAGAAACCTTTCTCCTCAAACAAGTTGATAGCCCATTCCACGGCAGAAACAATAGCAGTATGTGGAAGCTGGCAAAACATCTCTTTGACATCATAACTACAACCAAAAATCTCATCACCTTTCCTCACTTCCTTATAAACATCCTCAAGAAATCTGGGTAACAAGTGAGTACTACGTAAATTGAAGTGACTCATCTTCGCAATACGCCGAATTAACTCATTCACACAGGCCGACTTAATATGGGCTCCTTTTCGAGTGGGTTCGGACTATGATGGACGGATAGGTCGCCACTTGTTAACATCCTTGTGCTTGGGCAGAACATATGATCTCCCTAACTTACCCCTTGTGGCCCAAGGTGCCAGTTGAGTCAGTTTATCTGATTTATAACGCGACTTACATCGATTCAAAACTACCTCCTTAGGATCTACAAGTAAAATCATACCAGGATTACTGATGAAAAACTTCTTCATTCCCTGACCGTAAATCATCGGGCAACATACATAGGTATCTTCCATATTATGATATAGAGGGCAGAGAACAAATCCGTGAAAAAATATCTTCCATTCGTGAATGTTATCAATAGTCAAAATATCTTTATTATTGCGACAACTACGAGTACACTGTACATCTAAAGAAGAGGCAATCACGTCAGTCTTAAAGAATTCTGAAAGCGTTGTAGAAATCTGCTTGCTAAGGCAACGAGTATTGGTCTCATACTTGGGTAAAACAATATTCTTGGAATTCAGTAAAATATCTGGTATGAAAGAAACCTCACTGAACCGAAACGAGACGTGACCATCCTTCCGTGGGGGGTCATCCTTCAACGAAGCACAACAACATCCTGGTGCTGAGATAGCGGAAAAGGATCGATAATTGTATAAAAGGTCTCCCAAAGCCTTATTTTTGGTCCATACCAGTCTAAAGCGAGGGGCAAACGAGATCCAGATAAGTAGAAGGGAGAGCTAATCTACGAATAACAGATTTACAAACTTCATGAACCCTTTCTTTAATTAAGCCATGGTCGTATCGAATCCTAACGACCAATCTGGCAGACAGATATATATCGAATTTTTTCCTGCATGCAAGAGAGAGAATCAATTTCAGGGTGGATCGAGATCGGGCGGAAGAAAGAGATCGGACACCATCATAGGCGAGAATGAAACGATCCAAGTCCCAATCTGTTAATAGCTTATGGGAGGAGGGTGTGCTAAGAAGGGAGATTAAGGTATTCTTGATCTGTGATGAGCGTGAACAGAACCGGAAGAGTTTGTGAATAGTAAAGGTGAACCCAGATTTGAACCAAGCCCGACAGTGTTTGAGAAGAGAAACAAGCAGATTAGTGGAGGAAACGACCGAAGACCCAAATAAGCGTTTAACCAATTTCCAGTCCGAAGATTTGTCACCAGTGACAATAGAGATGGAGAAAGGGGTGGTAACGTGGGAATTAAAGGCGTCGTGAAGGATGAAAGATAGACTCATAGAATTTGTACCTAAGGATGAGGAAAAACGGAGAGGGATGTTTTTATTAGGAAGAGAAGGGAGGGAAGAGTTGGCTAAGGCAATAGATTTAGAAGGTAAGGTAGCAGAGGAAGAAGGGGGAGGAGAGGGAGGGTAAAAGGAGGAAGAAAAAGGAGGAGAGGGGAAAGAGAGAGAGGAAGAAAAAAAAAAAGGGTGTAGTAACGTTAAGGAAGGACAAGAATGAGCAGAAGGGTGAAGGGGGGAGAAGGAATGAGGTGGAAAAGTGTAATTGGTCCTTTTTAGATAGCGAAGTCTTTCCCTCTTTTCAGGTCGACAAGTCCTACGACATTCCCTATGGTTAGAAGTAGAAGTCGAGTTAAGAGAAAGATTCAAGGAGCGGATGAAGAAACGTTCAGAAGGTAAGAGATTCGTAATTATATTGGTAGCTAAGATTGGGATGGCAATATAGTTATTCAAATTAACTCGTCGTAGTTAACGATAAAGCTTGCAATTGGCTCTACGGCAACCAGAAGAGAGAGTTAAAGCAGCATGCTCCTCCCAACGAGCACCAATCGATCGGGACGTACATCCTATATAGATAGGACGAAACCAAGGGCACATAATAACGTAGATAACCGGACCAGGACATGGACGAAAATCATAATTAGAGCTAATCAACAAGGAAAGAAGAGACTGTAGCTTATCTCCCCATCTGATTTGACCAGAAATAATCAAAAGAATGACTACAAGCTGGAAAATATACATTACCTCTTCATTAGGCAGCGAACCTCGATAGTCACGACACAATAATGCAAGATTCCACAGATATGATGAGCTGAGGGAGTCCCCCTAGCCATCGTTATGACCCTCAACTGATGTGGAGTATTGCAAATCCGGGTCATCCTGATCGTCTTGCGTTGATTTGGATTTAATCCATTCGTCAAAATTATGTCTGGCTCCTATGTCGGCAATACCCGCTTTTGCCTGGTCTAACTTGATGTAAGATATTCCTTCTTCTTTGCAGAGTTCTTCTAAATCATGCTTCTTCCCCGTTCTCAACTCTTTCATCCTCGTTTCCCTAAAGTTTTGAAGCTTGGATTTCTCCAACTCATGAGTCGCGTCCACTATCTCACCGGTCTTTCCTTCTTTATGCCCGTTTTCTTCACCCTTCTTCTCATCATCAGAATCGACGTCGACGGAATCAAGAGTGGTCTTCAGATTTCTCGAAGTGGTTCGTTTGACTGCCACGGGCTTCCGCAACGAAGGTCGAATTCTGGAAGCGCCCGCTTTTGCCATTCGTTCTTTAAGGCATTCAGCTTGTCTGAGTGACATCTCTTTCCCTGCCAGAGCTTCCTTGTACGACTTGTACAACCCATCCATATCCTTGGGAGTGTACATTGCATTAGCTTGCGCCTCATTTTTCTGCTTCCCTCGCGACGGAGCTTCCGGAGGGCTGTTCTTCACCACCTCCACCACAGTTCTCTTTCCACCATTCCGTAGACTGACAAATTTATCCTTCAAGTCCTTGAATTCCATTCGAAGATGCGAATTCTCCTTTCGGAGCGTCACCACTTCCGTACTTTTATCCTCCAAAGCCTTCCTTATCCCACTTAATTCGTCAATTTGTAACTGCAAGGCGAGTATTCGGTCCTTATCCTGCTAAGACCCTTGCGATTGGCAGCTCCTTGATTTTAGTTCTTCGATTTCCCTTCGAAGCTTGTCCTCCTCGCTGCCCGCTTTTTGTGCTTTCTGTAGCGCCTCCTTCTCCTTGCGCAGAGCAACCAAGTTTGAAGGCGCAGAGCTATTAGCACATTTGGATTTGAGATCATCTAGTTCCTTTCAAAGCTTGCTGATCTCCGATTCTTCCTCCCAAGGCAAATCAACTTTCCGCCCTAGCGCCAATTCGCACACGACTTTGACATTGGTTCGTACAATTTGTCCAAGCCGGATCTCCTGCTGCTTTCCATCTCTCTTTTCTGCAGCACGTCTCTCCTCCTCATCGTACAACCTTTTCTTCGCATCCTCAAACGAAGCGAATCTGGTTGCCTCCCTTTTTCGCTCCTCACGCTCCTCCGCTTGCTCCGAGAGTAAGTCGTAAATCTTTCCAACCCTATCATTCTGAAAACTGTCCCCACCCGACCTTGCCGACCAGTTTCGTGATTGTTTCTGCCCATTATTGTAACCGCCATTATAGCCCCCGTTATAACCACTGTTGTTGCCTCGATTGTTGATTTCTCTCATTGCCCCGGTAGTTCCTGCTTTGTGGCGCGTGATACGGAACGATCGCGTTTAAAGTAGCTGCCGTGTTACTACCCAGCATTGGCGCTGGCAGAATCGCTCCATTGGAATCGTTGGAAGAGCCAGAACCGCCGTTTCGGATCCTTGACGCCATATCTCCTCCGTACGGTACATTCTGAAAGGGCACTCCCTGATGAAGTGCCCAGGCAGAAGATAGAAATGGCAGACACTTTTCCCGGTCTGCCGATACATCCTCCAAGGACTATCACGTCCTTGACTGTCCTCATAGAAAGTGGAGGGAAGAGGATGGGAGAAATAAGGAGATGAAAAGGAGATGAAAAGGAGGAGACAAGACTAAGCGTTTAAGCATTAGGTTTGGAACATAGTCACTCTAACGGGTAAGAATTCCCGTCAGCTCGCTATGTGTGTGTCGCAGTAGAGGTTAAGCTCTATGCAAAGACACAACAATTGTGTTATAATAACACTTAGGATGAACACATGGAGAGGAAGAAGGGAGAGGAGAGGGGAGGAATGAAGGAAGGAAGAAGGTAGAGTAAAAAACCCTGAGCACATCAACTCGCATAAGATATAACAATGAAGCACAAGAAAGATGACGGTAGAACCGCCATAGCATGAAGTGCGGTTGGCGAAGTGTAACCAGACAGCTGTTTCGTCCGGCTCGCCAGAGTACCGGACTCCTCAAGGGTGCGCTGGGAGTAGAGTGAAAGGGGTAACATAGGAACTTATACTACTACGAACTACGAAATACAACCTTCCCTACAAAAAGCACGGTACCAGGAATGGGAAAACAGACCAAGTACCAGAAAACTATACTGGTCTAAGAAAAGGGACCAAGCGCAATTGGAAAAATGAGACTAGCTACATTACCAGAACGTCCAACTGGTGAAACATTCGACCCAAGGGGCCCATGCCCCTCCTATCTTGTTGTTGAAGTGGAACAGGGCCTTGTCAAAAAAGCAGTCAGGAAATTTTCTGCGCCTAAGCTCAACCCTCAAGCTGAAGATAAAAAGAGACTCCGACCCTGGCATAGTGCCCATAGCATATGCCTCCGAAAGAGTGGTGTTTTTTTTTTCCTTAGGTCTCACCCAGCAAAGGTCGCCTCAAGCCCCACAGCATGATGACATTGAAAAAATAAAATAAAATTGAAATAACCTATAAAATAACAAATGAAAATGCTTATTTTGGCTGGTTGAATTTTATTTTTTTTAATTAAAAAAATATTATTTGTGAAAACAAAATTTGAAAAAATTATGGGGGTTACCCTTCGATGACCCCCACCCTTCTATAAAAAACAAACCCCCCCCCCCCCCCATCCGGAGGATAAAAAAAAAAAAACCCAAAAACCACCACCCAAACCAAACAACCCCCCCAAAAAAAAAAAAAAAAAAAAAACGATCCCGCC